TGACTACTTTTCAGATCTTGATGTACAAACTGTGAGAACCGCTCTCTGAGTTTGGTAAGATGAAATTAGAAAAATTTAATTTTTACCCCATTTTGGATAATTTACCCCGGTTCCCCGACCGCTGCTTTAGAGCATTAAATTGTAGGGTCTTCTGTTTGTACCCTTTAATATTAATAACTTTTTGACGAATTCAGGTTCTTGAAGATATGTTATAAATTGATTTTTCTATTATCACCTCTATTCCATCTCGTTTGGGAACTAAGAATAAGACTTAATTTCTTCCCAATTTTGTTTATTAAACTAAGTATTCAACAATATTCCCGTTTTATGACACAAACCATTTCGTGTTAAAATGTTTATGTTTTATTAATCAAATACCGGTTTTTTTTAGTTGAACAAAACCTACTAAATTTCTTCAAGAAACCGGTTTATAATAACCAACAAATCCTAGTATTCTTAATCCGAACATTGGTATCGAAAGATGATTTGTATTCCTATGAGTTTTATTTGTATCTGTTCCTTTAATTACTCGTTTTAATGTAAGATATAACAGTTTATGAAAATGTTGAGGAATTTCTTATAAAGTTGTAGTTGGATTGTGTGAAAGAAGCTGGTTGGGAATAGTGGATGTTCAGATTGGTTAGAAATGCTGACACGGTTCGCGCGAACGCGTCGTTTTCAAATTTAGATCCGAAGACCCAATTTTCCGATTTCGATCAAATCTCAGCTCGGCCAGAAAACCTCTCACTCTCTCACTCTTTCTCCTTCTTCACATCCATACATCGTCTTTCTCTCTCTCTGCTTTATTTCTCGGTGCGAACAAATATACAAGACACCGGAGTTTATAATAAAATCGCTTAAGCAGTCATACACTTAGGCTAAATCTATTTATATAAAGCGGAAAATATGTTTGGAATCTTGAAAAATGATTTCGATAATAGGGTCACTTATTGGTGATGAATGCGATGAAACTTCTAAAAACCTTCTAGTGTATGATGTTGTGCGTGTGTGTGTGTGTGCCATTCGAAATGGCCAAGTTATAAATAGTAGAGTAATTGAGCCGAAAGAGGAGAGAGCGTGGAAAAAGCACGGACGAAATATGCCTTGGAGCAGCAGCAGCAGCAGAAGAGGATGGAAAAAGGCTGATGTGCAGCTCGTCGAGTTACGAGCTGTTGACGATGGCACTCTGCTTACCACGCTGACAGGCTATGCGGATCGAGCGAACGAAAAATGGAAAACTGAAAGAGGCAAAAGCACACAGACAAAATAAAAAGAATGAACGACGTCTCCTACGATGATATGCCTACGTTCGAATCATCGCGTCAACCACTTTGATGATAATTTGTTATTGATATCAATTCGATCGCGACACGACCGCTCATTTTTCACTCAACTCAAACTTCTCTATTCTCGAATGATTCTATTGCCCCGATCCTGTCTGTACCCGCTGATTTCAGACTCCAATGGAATCACTTATCACGACTACAAATAACGAAAGGACAATTTTCTTAAAAATAACTTTTCTAAAATTAATCATTAGACCACAATCGAAGAAAACGCTTTCTTATTAAATAATTAATTGATTTACAATAATGAAAATTACAAATTTGACATGTTCATCAGAAAATAAAATAATTTCTCTAATTGTCTATTTGCTTCAATCAAATACATTTATTTATTATGTTGCAATTTCTTATAATAGAATATTCTATATTTTATAGAAGATTATATGAAAATGTTAACTTTTGTATTGTTGTTTTTCGATTAATTTTCTCATTTTTCCACTTATATTGTATCGTATAACTCGAGAAATACGCATTCTAATTAAAACTATGTTTACTCTAATTAAAGCTAAAAGTACAGGGTATAAGATGTAACTATTGCCGTTTTTTTTTTCTATATCGAAGTGTGAAATTCGATAACTTTTCATATGTTCAGATAAAATGCAGTGTCTCTGCATTTAATTTAATTTCTCTAAGTAATTGGTTTTAAGATAAACATTTTCTTCTTTGTAATTTGCTTCTTCCCTTGTTTTAATCTAAATATACAAAATGTTATTGAAATTTTAGATGCAACTAATGCTATCCGACGTTCGAAATCCCGAGTATATCGAAATCCCGACATTCAAAATCTTGGCTGTATTAATATCCCGACGCTTGAAATCCCGACTATGTCAAAATCCCGACTACTATAAAAGTGTTATTGTAGAAATTTATAATAATAAAAGACACTGTCGGGATTTCAATATAGTCGGGATTTCGATATAGTCGGGATTTCGATAGACGGGATTTAGGTTGTCGGGCTTGCGATTGCCACCATTCATTTGTAGTTATTAGTGACATCTGGAGACAGACATTAAAGTTCATAGTTCAACTGCTTATGACGCTGTAAGAAATCTACATATTTCAATTATCAATATTTTTAACTAATAATATTTACTTATTATAAATTTATGTTCAATTTAATTATGGTGCTATAATTAAATTAGTTGTTTCTCAATTTGTTTATCCATTTATTTACATCTTAATATTTCTTGTAAGCGTCATCTAATGGAAGTTAGTAAAAGGTAACTTCAATTATTTTATATTTTTATATAACATTTAAATTTTAATACAAATATATTAATTAATTAGGATTAAATTTATCTAAAATTTTGTAACTAATGAAATATTCAAGTTTCTTTTTATGATGCTTAGGATTGCAATATTTTAGTTTTTCTTTGTTGGCAATTCTTATAAAAGTTGGTAACCTTGATGACCGTTGCAAAACAGCAGATTTTAAATCATCAAATGCATCAAATATTGGTGTGAATGTTTGGTGCAATGTTTACGAGTTTATTGTTCCTTCGAACTAATCACTAACACTTTTATACCGCGTATATTTAGTTTTAAGTAATACATAGATGATATTCCCCTTTCAGCCAGCATCGCCATGGAACAAGAGAAAACCGAAGATTTTGTGAACGTCGCAATCCGTGTTCGTCCAAATCCCAGATTTGAAGAGGAATGTTTGCAAATAATCCCTGGAGAATATCCGGTTAGTTCAACACTTGCATTTTATAGACTTTATATAAAGTAATTTCCTTTTGTAGGCACTGCACATACCGGATAGACAACAGACCTTTTCATTCGATAACATATTCTCCAAAAATATTAACCAATTTGAAATTTACAATGCTATGGTCAAGCCTTTGGTGCTACGACTTGTGGATGGATACAATTCCACTGTTTTTGCTTATGGCCAGACAGGTACTGGCAAGACATACACTATAGGAACTAACATAGAAGTAAGTTACATTTTATTTTTGAACGCACAATATTTATTTGTATCTTTTAGAATTACAACGAAACTGATGGTGGATTGATCATGAGAGCTTTAAATGATTTGATGGTGTGCACTTATGTCAAGAAAAAAGTTAATATTCAAATATCATTCTATGAGATTTATAATGAAAAGGTTTATGACTTGCTCACTAAGGTTCGTAGCAAAGTACCTCTTGCAGTTAAAGGTAATGTTAAAAGCTTAATGTTATTAATAAATTAGCGTATTAATTGATAATTTTAGGTTTCAATGTAGTGGGACTGAGCAAGAATAAAGTGGATACTTTGAACGATGCCTTAATACTGCTCTCACAGGGATGCAAGAACAGACACACCGGAGATACAAGACAGAATTCAAACAGCAGTAGATCTCATGCAATATTCTCAATATTTTGTCATGTCGTTAGTGGGTAATATTATTTTAAACATAGGTGTGTTGTTTGTAAACTAATTTAATTTATTTCAGTGAGAAAGAGACTGAAGCAAAACTGAATCTGGTAGATTTAGCTGGGTGTGAGAGCATTAAGAAAACTGGTAACTTTGGAGTACAGTTCCATGAAGGTATCAGTATAAATAAAGGTCTCTTGAATATTGGCCAAGTGATAAATGCTCTCTCCACCAATCAAGATCACATTCCATATAGACAATCCATAATAACAACAATATTAAAAGGTATTTACTTTCTGAGCCTCATTTAAGTAAGATATAACAATTGCGAACAGTTACATCATATCAATGCATTTCAGATTCTCTGAGCAAGAGCAATTACATTACGTTCATTGCGTGTGTGCGCGCGACATACGAGGATATGCACGAAACCATGCAGACTTTGGAATTCGCGCAGAGAGCTAAGAAAGTGAAGAATAGACCCGAATTAAATACCCAAATATTGGAACAAAATGTAAACTCAATTTGTTACTCGTCCATTCGTAAGTTTTACTTAATTATTTCATTATGCCTGTAGAAATTGATGAGTGCTGGACCAAGGGGAGGCAGAGTGATTGGTACACCGAAATCCTCGTTCAGGATGCAGTTTAAAACACCCAATTCGTATTCTGCTGCTGCGATCAACAGACCTTTGAGGCCGTTGGCGTCCAGCTCGATGCACGAGAACGTCTTGCCGCAATTCTGCACGCCGATGGGTGATCAGCATCCATTGCATCTGAGTCCCATCATTATGAGATGCATGGACCGTATGGAGGACAGGATTCTAGGAAAACTTGAAACCATTGTTACCAAATCGATTCAAGGTGGAAAAGCCGTTGGTCCACAATTCGAGAAGGAGAACTTGCAGATGGAGGTCTCCAAGATGGTGCGAAATGAATTGCAGGAATTGAAAAAATTGCCGTTTCGCGTCGGCGACGCAGCTGGAGCTAATATTGTCGCTGATTATTGTCAATCGAATGAGAAGTCGATTGAGAAAGAAGAAACGTACATGGTATACATTTGAATTTGTCGTATAAACCTTTTCTATAATAATATTGTTTGTGTTTTGTTTACAGGATTTCTATAATAATATCGCAGATGAAACCGTGAGCAGCACTTCGGCTATATTCAAAGTACCTCAGAGCACTGCGCTACCAAAGAAAAAGTTAAAAACCTCGTCGCCCATCTCGAAACCGACACGAAGATCAACGAGGCTAAGTATTCGTGGTGCTCCGGCGCCGCAGCCAAAGAAAACTGCAAGACGTAGGTATGATATTGTCATTTCCAAATCCAAAGTGTCGCTATCATTTAAATTAATATCACTTGATTTTTTTCTACAGCTTAAGACTGGAGAAAATAAATATATCTGTTGCTACCGGTAGCGACAAAGCTAATGTTAAAAATGTCATGCAAGTTTTGAACACTGGTTCACAAACGGATTTGCTCAAACTGCATACGATTGGTGTTAAATCTGCACAGAAACTAATACAATTCAGGTAATTATTATCAATTGAAACATAATTAGTGTGTAAATTAAACATAAAAAAAATACATTTTTATATTTGTAGGGAGATCAAAGGGAAATTTAAGAAACTTTCCGATCTGGAGGAGTTCCCTTGGAGGGGGACCGGTTACGAAAGGTTTTTGCAAGCAAACTTTTTAAATTGAAATGAATTCACTGCGTTTTATTCTTTTCTTGTACAGTTTTTAAATAAATTCTCGTTTTCCTATAGTTACTTATAAAGTATATATAGAACACATTAGTTCATTTTTTGTTTGCTGTTCCTTGTGAATAACAAATAAATTAAGTTTATACTTTTGGAATGTATTTAATAACTTTTGAACCTATTCAATCTTCTTCTTGTCATTGATGGTCGCGTCGTTGATCTCCTCAGTACCATCATCTTCTACTCTGTTTTTGTCGACTGGATACAGCCTGCAATTGAATATGTTGCTTGGTTATTTAATTGGTTTAGGTAAGGGTAATGATAATTACCATCTCTGGTATAGATAGACGAAGAATACGATGTCGTCGCTAAAGCACGCCAGTCTGTGCGAAGTTGGCATAGTGATAATGAAGGCGAAGATATCATCGATGAAGGTATTGAACGCCCTGTACATGAAAGCTCTCCAAGGCAGAGCAGCGACGGACTTCAATCGATAGTTTACGAAGAGTTGAGGCAAGAGGAATAGAAATCCAAATGCGTAGACACCGTTGGATAGACTGTGGATTGTCCAAGAATACCAGCTGTCGAATAAAAAACATTGCTACAGTTATACGTTCGAAATTGTAGAAGAGTTTTGCGCACCTTTTGTGCGGCCGGTAAACCAAAGAATAAACGGCTGCGCTCAGTAAAAGTGGGTACAAAATATAATTCAAGTATTTCATGGATTCCTTGTCGTATTTCTTGGTTTTTGCCTCAACATCTGTATCCTGTATATTTGTGTTAAACTTGATGCCGGACCAACCGATGGTGATCTTATAAATCTTCGTGATCTTCCAAAACTGAAGACCAAGGAAAAAAATTATATACATACACATACAATTCAGTCTATAGCAGTGGTCAGAAAACTAGCTCTATGGTATAAAATTAAAACAATCATTTTTTTTAAATTTAAAGGCGACATATAACAAAATATCTCTTAAGTGGGTTGGTTTTAAATTATTGCGAGGAGGGAGAGATTGGATTTTCCGCGGTAAAAGTTTGTTAAAAAAAAATATATTTCTGGCTCTCGAATAATTTTTCAATTGTTGTGACAGGTCTGGTAATTTCGTCTCAAAAGTTTGCAGACCCCTGGACTATACGTTAACAGTTTATTCAGATATTTCAATTACCTCGATCACTGTACCAATTGCGCTGGGAATGAGGACGAATAGGGATGTGCCCTCGTCGAGAAGATACAAGAAGATGACCGTCTGCGAGAATGTCCTCCAGAGGACGGTGCGCATGGAGAGGCCGGCCATCGTCTTGTGCGATTTCCAGAAAGTCACGTAATTTTTAAACGATAAAAAGTCTAACAACAGCTGAAAATAAGATTGAGAGTATCGCAAACATCCAATGGTAATGGGGCGGCGACGGCGCGCGCGCTACCACAGTATTCTAATTACATGAATTCCTCCGATAAACAAAGTCATGCACAAAAGATACAAATTGGTGTCCGCGAACACGCCCTTGACCTCGTCGACGTCCTTTGCGGTGAAGCCGAGGTTCATGAAATTCACGAACGTGCCCTCCATCTGCACCAGGAACTTGAACTTCCCTATCGAGGTTGGAGAGTACGCGAACGTAAAGTTCATGCGGTACGTGTCCGCCAACACCTCTTCCAAGTCCTTCATCCTGGTCTGCAGCAGATCCTGTATGAGGATCGGCATAAACTGCCTCTTGCTGTTAATCCTCATGTACCGTACGAGCTCGAAGGGAACGTTCAGATGCGGCACGTGCAACTCCTCGTTGCACATCACCATCACATACTTGGACTTCATATGGGTTACAGGCTTCACAGACTTCTTCTTCGCCTCCTCCTGAAGCAAATTGAACGCCGCCCCTCTAGGCACGATGTGCTTCGTTAACTTACTCTTCAAGTACACAGCGTCCGCCAAGTTCTTGGCGTCGCTCAGCGGTATAAACTCTGCATTTCCTCTCGCCGGAAACAGTACAGTATGGATCAACATGCTCCCATTGCTCCTTGCAGAATCACTTACATCAATTTCAATGACCCTTTAAAGGGAGAGAGAGAGAGAAAACAATATACATATTGCTCCATCATTTATACAATGCATACTCACTTTTCCATTGGTTCATTATAATTGAAGTTGTTCACATGCAGAATCGGAGTAGCATGGGACCTACCCATATCAGAAGTGTACACCAGCAGCTCCATGCGGGGCTTGTTGTTCAAATATGAGGTGTAACATACCTCATCACCAGTGCAGTATGGGGCACTGTATATTTGCACCAATGTGTAAATGGAATGCAAGATAAATGCTATAAACGCGCACGAAATGATGAAACCTACTGACGGCCGCATCTTAACTTATTACTAACTAGGCTTTTCTGTTTTGTCTCTCCACACTCATCCAGAGATACACATACATATGTGGCAGAAGCAGTTTGGCAGTTCGGATCAGATACATGACACTTTACCAAGTAAAACATATACTTATGCTATTTTACTTGCACACAAGTAATACTGGTGGAAGCACTAGATAGCGTCTGCGGTCTATACAAAATTCAAATAATATCAATAGTCTTTTGAATAAAATTGTGTAATACAATTATAGAGCGAATTAAATTCTAACATAAAAGACCATATACATTTCTAATATTTCTGATCAATTTTGTAAGTGTATGTTCTAAATTGTTATATCATAATAAAATTTTAACTAATCGAAGGTTTTATAATAAATTATATTGCGTTACAAGGAAATGTTACAGATAGTCGCCTGAAAGAAATAATAGAAAACTAACCAAATCCTCTACATCAGTGTTTCTCAAAATTTATGGAACTCCTTTTGCACTAAAAAAAAATTAAACAAAGAATAGGTATTACTTAATGAAACTCTGGATACATTTTTATACATTTTTCTATTGGTAATCGTTCATAAATTGATCTTTTATTGCTATGATCATCAAGAAATTCGTAATCTCGTGATACCGGTTGTATAGGAATTGCAGTTTCCAATTGAATAATAAAACTAGGATTGTAGTCAACTAAATTAGAGTTAATTTACAAAGTAATATGATTCAATTTGCGACAGTGGGCGATGAATGATTCAATTGCAAGAAATTCTCAAAAATTAATCTAAATTTTGCATTTGAATCAACACTCTGCGCATTTACTTTTATGATTCATTCTAAAAATATCATTGAATCAATATTCACCATGGTCAACGATGACTCATCATATTAATATATCAATGACAAAGTTACTGATGTTATAAACAAACGTTTCGTAATTGTAGACGTAAACAGATTGTTTTTATCTGATACAAAATACTTTTTTCCTACAATTAATATAGATATATTATATATTTTAAGATCAATAACTTCTCTAGCGTGACCTAGAAAGGTTTTGGGCTGAAACGAAAGCAGTATACTTTTCCTAGCCATACCTAACTGCAATTTGATTATAGTTAACTATGTATGCTTAATGCAAGCTTTCCTTTTTTTTTGGAAATGCCTGGAAAGTTTTTAAAAGTAATTTTTGTAAATTTTGATAATTAATTGTGCTTTTAATTAATTATGTTATTAATGGAACAAGAAAACAAGTATTAAAAACAGCTTATCGCAGTGCAAAATGAATTATTGCAGGATAAGAGATAACCCTGAGATCTAGGGGAAGATATCAAATAGTCACATGATCTGACGTGTAAGAATCACTGCAGAATAGAATAACATTCCAGACGTTTCCATCGAGGATTTGTTCTTCGTGCAAATAATCGAAAGCCAACCGATAGCGAAAAAAAAAGAGTGGAACCCAACCGTTAGAGCGCTGCGCGGGCATTTATATATTTTCGACCTCGACAGCAATTCCTGCAGTTCGAATCGCACCTCAGTCTGAGAAGCACAAATTCCATTCATTTACCACAAGGAATACTTTGGACCATCTTCCTCATAATGGCGTCACCAATTGGTAAGTTTTAAAGATTATTTAAATTTGAATAATCTGCTCGGCCATGATGACATCATTTAACTAACGTTCGTTAAAATCGATGCTTTGATTCCTGTTCTATTTCGACGCATTTTCTGGCCGTGGTAAACAAATCAATGGTTTTCCTCTACTATATTTAACATCTTATGTCAGAGGCGCCACCTTGAAGTTATCAACTCCCCGCAATAGCAATAGCTATAGCTATGTCGCGTTGGCACGAAACGTAACACTAAACCGGCAATTCAATTGTTTACAAACTTAAAACCTAACTCGCATTTGCATTATTATTTATTTAGAAAAGAAATACACGAGAATCGTTGTGTTTTTTTCCTTATCCACTCGATTATCTTTGCATTGAAATTTCACATAAATTCAAAAATGTGTGCATTTCTCCACTGTGCAATGTGATAATGTGATACTGATGCTAATTCAGATCAATTTTTTTATGTTTTTTTCTTTTTCTAGTAATTAGAAACTTTCTTCATTTGGGCGTTGGCCAGAGAATGCTGAGAAATTTCTAAAATATTTTGTATTTATAAATCTGAAGTGATTTAAATTTAGACTGACGAGACGCTGAATTCCGAAAACTTATCATGCGATTTTGTATGTTTTTATTGTGCGTTCGCGTAATTAAACTTTGCACTTGCGTCCACAAACCGTTTATTGGTAATTCAAATTAACTTCGCTGCGCTAATGCGACGCGATGATGTATTCTCATTGGTTCGACCTTGTTCCCAAACGAGTACAATGTTTTGTTGTGTGCGAAGGAGGCAGATAATTATTCATGTTTATTCCATTTTTACCAAATTGAGGTTTTCGTAATTTATCTTTACGTTTGAATTGCAAAATAACTGATAGGATGGTCTACAATAATATTGCTTTTGAGTTATCCAAATAGCTTTTAATTGAAAAAGTGGAAGTGTATTTATTTATTGTTTGTGTTTAATTATGCAGAATTGTCGACCGAAGATAAATTGGAATACAACTTCCTGCCCAACAGCAGCGGGGTTGTACAGTTCCGCGTGAGGGCTGCCAACGATGCGCATGTGGCGTTGACCACCGGCGCCGCCGAGTCTGATCCCATGTATGAGGTCTTCATCGGCGGATGGAATAACCAGAAATCTGTTATCCGCAAGAACCGCAGCAAACCGGACGTCGTCGAAGTTGAGACCCCGAACATTCTGAGCGGAGGTGAGTTCAGAGGATTCTGGGTGCGTTGGAACAATGGCACCATCTCCGTCGGAAAGGAGGGCGAAAGCGCACAGTTCATGAGCTGGACCGACAGCGAGCATGTGCCCATCGCCTACGTCGGCGTCTGCACCGGTTGGGGTGCCAATGGTTCATGGATCATTGAGCAACCACAGGAGACGGCAGCTTGCGGCACCATGTGCTGGGTGGCAGCAAGCGACGGCTCCGTCCCACCGAGCGCCTTCCCCGCCGGCGAAGACAACGGAGAGACCATGTACATTTCTAGGGGTCAGTTCCAGGGCGGACTCATTCCCGGCAAGCTGATCTCCTCCCATGGCGCCGCTTACATCGCCTGGGGCGGTGAGGAGCACGCCATCAAGGACTACGAGGTCCTGTGCGACTTCAACGGCACCTGGTGCGCAACTACTGCAAACGACATCCCGTCCAACGCTGTCGCCGCAGGACAGAGCGAAGAAGGCGAGACCCTCTACGTCGGTCGCGTCAACCATGAAGGTTGTTTGACCATTGGCAAGGTCCAACCATCCCACTCCACCTGCTACATCCCATATGGAGGACAGGAACTTTCCTTCGGCGATTACGAAATCCTCGTCAACTAGACGAAACAATCGCACGAAGACGATGCAGCAAGATATTGAACACGTAAAACGCATTGGCATGCTTTCGTTCTAAGCTCTTAGCAAACCAGTCGGAACACGCAAAGCTTACCAAAAAGAACAACAACAAAATAGAAACAAGCTTTTATGAAAATCGGAAGTATGTTAATGTTATTTCATTTTTTATATATCTTACGTACAAGACATGTTAATAACTGTAAAAATAATTTATTTATTTACACACTTAATTTAGTTTTGTTTTTTTATTCACATTATACAAAATTGTAATTTACTTTTCCTTGTGTCGGGTGGACTGGTGTCCGATGATTGTTATACTCTTGTTTTCTTTTTCATATATAATTATTATAATAACGAGTTAGTATCATCCATTAATACCTTTCCAACACAACAAACTTATTATTGTTATTGCCTTGATCGATTCGCACTAAGAGGAATCACTGAATGAAATTATAATAAACTAAAACAGAAACAATACATTTGTTGAACCACACGATTATCATTTCTATGGTCATTCTAAATTGATTCTTGAAAACCATCAATAAATTTGTATTTCTATTTGTCATTGAATCAGGGCCATACAGAACATATTTTACGTTGACCGATAAACCGCCATCAAACGCATTTCTACCCTGAGTTGGCATAAACAACAGAATGAATTCTTTCTAGACTAGAGGGAAGAAGCAGAAGGAAAAAAGAACAGAATGGATAAACCAGGATAAGCAACTAATACATTATACTATTAAATAATTCACTTTTTTTTTTCTTTCGGCCCTATTTCTACCCCTTTCGGGTTTAAAAGCCTCCACAAATTTTTGTTGGTTTTTGGGAATTGAACCAACGACCTTTCGTATCAGATTTTCGTGATACAGGCGACCATAATTCGCACTTGATTTATTTGACTTTCTATCTATATGTAGTGCGTTATTGATAGATATATTTCTTGCTTCCATCCGTGAGAGTGAAAAAGAATACAGTATAATAATATTACAAAGTTTATTTCAAATTTACGTTATATTTTCTCCGTCTACCGATTTTACACATGCCTACTTGAACACTTTAAATACATCTTCATAGATGGCTCTGTACACTGATTTAGCGTTACGTATGTGCTTCATATACAGTGGAACCTCGCTTAACGAACAAAATGAATTGTAAGAAAAATGACTCGCGACGTTTCACATAACGAGTGACGATGAGAAGAGAAGTCCCGGATTGCGCGCCTTCTACATCATTTTTAAAACTTGTGTACACATATTATGCGAATACGTTCCACTGTATTTTTATGAAGATATAAACATAAATCGTAAATCGTAAATAGTTTATGTGGTTTTCTACTAGAATGTTAAAAATATATCTCCCATTATAGAAACAATAAAGATGTTGTTTGCTAGGAATAGAATCATTATAACAAATCGCTTATGAAAAATATATGTTTTAAGTACGTGATATAAAGTTCCTATCAATGTTTTATTTATATAAATTAGGATCAATGTTAGTAATGTTTATAACAACCAGATTTAATATAGGTCAAAAACTCTATTTAACCATTTAAAGAACATCAAAAAATGAAAAAATAAATTATATTTTCTTCAACGACCTTCGCGTATTACATGCGTTTATGTTATTTCCTTTTTTTCTAATATATAAAGTATTCCAATCAATTCACTTTGCCGAAAGAATCTTCAGCATGACAAAAAATTCCCATGAAACAATGTATTCAACATTCTTTCTATGAAATAGCAAATTATATACTTTTCCGCTGACACAAGTAAGTTAAGAATGAAATTTCGTATCAGAAGAATAATTACAAAAATAAAGAAAACGAAAAATAACATATGCATTCAGAAGTTTTCATATGCAAGACTAAATCCAATATATTGATGGTTTGTAAGTTACAAATTTAAACTGTTGTGCATAATTTTTTTTAGAAATAACAGTGATTTATTAATTGTATTGTTTGCGTGTTTTGCGGACAAGCCGTGTTGTTTCTTAAAAAAAAAAACGAGCAACCACAACAACAACTTGCATGTAATTTAACAATTAAATATGTTGCATTATTGTATTTGTTGCTATTGACTAGATTGGCCAATTTTCGACTGTTATTACTAAATTGCGCGTAGATGGGATGCGTGAGCGGACGTAGTCCACGCCATTTACTATGATTGTTTCGAATTGACCAAAATGGAGTCACGCAACGACCAATTGGAGGACTCGTTTCATTTTAAATAAACTAAAATTCCAAATTAGATAAATCAATAAATCAAACGTATAATCTTTAGGATTCGTTGTAGGAAATCCATAGAGATTACCTTGAGCACGAAATGAAATATGAGGTGCATTGATTTCCGTTCCGAATCGTTTTCCACTGAAAAACAAAACCGAAGGAGAGAAAAAAACATGTTATTAAAAATGGGAATGCGGTCTATTGGTAAAAAAAAGACTATCTTTATGTCCTGTTGTTATTTGCATTGCGATGGATTTTTTTTTTTATTTTCAAGTGGAATTATTTTCGCGTGGAATAATTTTCGAAATGTAGAGTGCGTGTGTTTCAGTGACAATAATCACGCACATCCTCATTATTTCTGCTGCTCTCATGTGAAGCAAACAGGGGGATTTGCCAGTTACGTAACAGCGGTCCAAGAAATTTTTCCACGCGGTCCACACACGTAAACGGTCCATCATTATCATTTCATCCTCATCCTCAATAGAAATTGCGGCGATCGTGAATAATCAGACCTCATCATTCCATTTATCTCTCTCCCCATGGTCGACGACGAGTCGTTTAGCAAAGTCTATTTTAAAAAAAAATAAGAAATTAACTTGGATTCACGTTTATTATCGAATCAAAGCAATCGAAAACTTAGGAGACGCCACTCGAGATGGAATCTCTCCTACGACGATAATATACCCATCCAGATAAACATCTATGTAGGTTAATATTGATAATGATATTTTCATTTCTATTATTCTTTTCCGATCATCTACACCACACGTATATTTAGACAGACGGAAAGACAACAATGTTGTAACCACCCGATAAAGCCGAGTACGCCTCTGCTTTTCAACCGTACTAATAATAATAATAATTATTATTATTGCATTCACGTTCTGCAGGAATGAACAGTATCGGTGTCGCTTGTTTACTCCTTCCTACATAGGAAAGAAAAACTTCCACTGTTTTGATGATTTCAGGTGTGGTTTCCAGTAACGCGAAGATGATCATGTTTTTTTTTCTCTTCTCGCTGGTAGCGAAATGCAGATTGCTCCCATTCATTAAACTTAATTGTATAAATAGAGATGTTTCGAAAACATGGCAATAGGAAGCGACGAATTAAATTCGTTAGCGACATGCAACTGTGTGTGTGTGTTTATGTATGTATACGAAAACAAGTCGTTCTGCGTGTAATCGTTCTCCTCTTGTCGGATCCTCGTAATTGTCGTCCTCTATTGCGATAAGCCGCTGCTCCACTATATTCAACTTTATATTGTTATTCGATGCTCCAGTTCATTTTATTTTTGATCTCCTAATCTCTCTGACTTTCGTTTGACTCCGCTGACCACAGGAAATGCCACGGTTCACACATAAAAATCGAATTATTACTATTGAAAGTTCAAACCGGATTTTGCATCTGCTCCGCATCTTGTTGTAACTTTATACTCCATTCATTCATAATACATGCAATAATCTTTACCCCTATCAATGAACACCTTCTTATTATCCATATCAATCTATGTTATTAAGCTTTCAACTAAGTAGAAACAATACTACTATAAAACATTTCTAAAAATTGCTGTTAACGTAATTAGATTTGTAATCAGTTTCGTAGTAATGAAATCCATCAATCCAATAAGTGGTTTCGATTGATTGTTTTTTTTTTTTTAATTATTATTTATTTCACTATTTTTTTCGTTGTCCCGTTTAGTTTTTCAGGAGTTTTTTTTTTGTTTTTCATAAGTGATGCTTCAAATCAAAGGAATCAGATATGGGACATCATCATTCATCATGTACCTCTTGGAGCGCATGTGCTCTGTGTGGGTGGGGAGCAGAAGATGAATAAAATCGAGTGGTTGCGAGTGTCAGAGCCAGTGGATTTTTTACCACTTCAGGAAGTGAACAGACGACGACGAGGACGACGTCCAAACAGCGCGACGCGTTTCACAACCAAATTTTCAAATCGTGCATCCAAAATATATTTCAAAAAAACAATACTGTAGATTATCGACGACCACTACGACGACGACGCCGACGCCTGAACGTATTAATAAACAAACATCCGTAGTCCGTCAGCTGATTGACACGAAAGGTGAGTGCAAATTTTGAATTTCTCCTTCGGAACGCGCGTCGTTCTCTTCCGTAACATCGGGGCTTGTTGTGATCGATCGATGAATACAACCACCAGATGCACTTTATTCAATTTCGTCCTCACCCTTTGACGTACTGTGTCTTCGATTCGCACGGAGAGGAAGAAAGGTGTGTGCCGTTGCTGTTGTTGTTGTTATTGTAGTTGAAGGTTTAGAGAGAGAGATTGATTCAGGTCGCCGCTGCTGCTGCCTGCCGCGGGAAATTTATCGATTCTCTCCTGTGGAAAATGCGCGAACCGTCGTGCCATTCGCATCAACAACAGAAGCGCGTTTCCTATCGAATCGAAAGTTTTTCCTCGTCGTTGTTCTCTCCGCTCGCCTCACATCAACACTTTTATAAATAAACGTGCCTGTGCATCCGATCTAATTCGAATATGTGTCCGTCTATAACTATATATTAATGATAAACGCAACGTATCTTCTTCGGTTTATCAATGGCGAAGAGTTCAACATTTCATCGATAACCGTCGTCGTCTAATGGAAACAATAGCCGTCGATTGTTGCAGTCAGCCGAAGAAGGCAAGCTTTGATCACCAATTTTCAACTCACGATCTAATAATACTCATACCAATATTTAAATTCAATGCCACGCCACTAAACAAACCAAAATATATCTGTAAGGTCAAAGTTAATAGTTTCAAGTTAATTCTCTATTGAAATTTTAATTAACATTTAAATTCAAATTATTTCCAACGCTGAAACATTGAATAAAAATGAACATTTTCCACTGATTCTGTAGCAATTATTGTTTCGGTGCGGTGTTTAAATGTGTATTGTAAATTATAATTGTAGGAAAAATAACAATTCGGAGACTTTTTGAATGAATGAAAGTAAAATGTGATTCACGTTTGCTCTCCCACCGCTCGCGAATTTACGACTGCTTTTCATATGCGCTTCCACCAAGTTCAAGTTCAAGTGATCCGCCTCGATGCGCTTTTCTCTATTATCTCCGATAATATGTGGTGTGCATCAATATGCGTGCGATCAATAACTCAATTAAATCTGCCGAATTCCATATGCAGCAATCAATATCGAACAAAAATAAAACATGACCATTGATAGCATTGTACATTTTTTGATCCTTGAATAATAACAGGAATGATCCGAGTGTGCGTGGCATTCAGTTAAATGAATTCAAAAAATTATCACGTATCAACAGTCGAAAAGTGTTAATAACTTTGGAATAAACTTTACGAGGAACAATAACACTTTTATTTATTCCAATTCTCGACGTTTTCATTGTTTATATTTGGAAAATACGATGAATGTTTACGTTTCGTTCATCTGTGTTTCTCGAAATCCAAAGGTCGCGGTTTGGTAAGGTTCGTTAATCCTTTCAATACGAGAGGAAACTCCGATTCCGAGAAGACGTTGATAATTGTCCTTTGTTCGCTCTTTTTATTTTTTATTTTACTCACAAAAGGATACTACACTCTTCTGGTGCAGTGTTTTTGTTGATTGTTGTTGTTTGTTGTTGCTCGTCAAGGTCGTTGGCATTGCGTTCTGATTTATTATATCTGCGTTCGGCTCTTGCATTACACATACGCGCGTGCGAATGTTTTCCACTTTGCAGACCGCAGATGGAAATAAATGTTTAAGTGAAATAGAGAGAGAGATAACAAGAAAGGACCACGAACGTATGTTTAAAGTCCACCTCCAATAATAGTCGTTGCCACATATCCTCGTTTCTTTATTTTCAGAAACCCATATGAAAATAAATGCAATAAACAGAATATCTGCTTTTGGAATCCTCAATTATACTCGTTTTGTAGGTCGTTCCAACGAAACCTGATGTAGTCGAAACCCGTTCGGATCGTTAGTTTTGATGAAATGCCCCAAGTAATTACCTGAAATTCCTTACGCGTTTTCTAATCGTTCGACGACAACGAGACGACAATCTCACTGTCTGTTGATTTTACAAAGAAACGAAGGAAAAAAAATTAAACGACAACGAAATCGGAAGTAAACGTGTACGTTTACTGGAAAATTATGGTAAATAGGGTCAACCGTTGCCCTGAATACGAGTTTCGTATTGATCGCATATTTCTAATTCAACATATTACATTTTTGCTTGCATTTACAAATCGTTTATACTTTATATCGTTTTCAAATACAATTTATGCCAGCTTCGACTTTCACTTTGAAACGAATATAGATTCCATCCGAGGGGGCGGCAGCATCCGTCGATTACGGCATGTTGATAAAAAAAAGCGGTTTGCTCGACTAGTCAGGTCCTGGCCACAGGCAGGTACATGTATCTTCAGAGCTTTCTCCTCAAGGTCTCTACCACAATTTGGTGATCAGGATCAGGGAATGAATATCCAAAACGAGAATGTTAAAAGGTTTACAATTAACCATCGAAATCTTCTCAATAAAATTGTATCGCGATGATGATTATTATTGGAGCTGGTGCATTATATAAATCTGTCGGGTCTATTGGAAAGTTCCACGGTGGAAAACGGAGCCAAAGAGAAAAGGAAGCCGGGGAATTACGCAATGCACGCATCGCAGTCACTTTCATCATCGTGATTATCATGCGTTTGCGTTGTGATTGGAACCAGTTTTAGAAACTACGATATTATCAATTTGATTGAAAATATAGATGAAGAAGAAAAAGAAAATATTATTGATCCGGTTTCGCGAAAAGTCCAATTTCGATTCGACCATTGGAGAATATTCAAAGGTCACATTTTGTGTACGGAAGATAATGATTAAAATAGGTCAAGAAATGGTATCGTTTTTTTTTTCTCTCCTATTTCTTTGTCTGCGTTGACCGTATTTCAAAACGCGTACGTTCTATATATTTGCTGTACAGCAAGTGGTTGCTTTTTTTTGTTCGTTCATTCCTGATGTCTGAAAGGAAGAGGAGAGGACGTGGCAAGACCACGCTTTGACCTCGTGTGACCCGCACGTGGCCAACTCCTCTCTCAAGTATCAAACATAATTAAATGTATATACAGACACGTAATGCAAGTGTGAAACAATCATTTTGCACTTTGCCAAAATACAATTTAACAAAATCGAAAAGAAGCGATTACACTAGGCACGTGCTCTAGTTAATGCTCGGAACACGGGATTCCGCAAACGTTACGCTCATTTTTAATAGCTTCGCATTCTTGAATTCGAATTGCACTTGTCCAAGAAAAAAAAACTATTTTCTAACGATTCTCATGCTTTCATCCAAATCTTCAACTTTATTGTTTTGCCCGCACAGAGATAAAACGACTTCAGTTTCGTTGGTCTCGTTTCGTTGGAGAATCAATCAATTTGCAATCAGCGGAAAGCCGTATCTAAACTAATTGAAATTGAATGCATTATAGATTTGCGTAACGCGCGCAGAAATGAAAACATTAATTCATTTTTTTCTTTCTTTTAATTTATTTAAAACAGCTTAAATCTTAACCGGAAGATATAATAACATACGAGTTTTTTTTTTAATATATAGACGTCTTCTAATCACATTCAGTATATAAATAGAATAACATTTGGATATACAACACGTGACCTTTGAATCTCTAATATATTTTTTTGTTAACTGAATATTTGAAGAAATTCAATAAAAAATAATAATGAAAAAGAAATCACCTACGATGATATCGTTCGCGCGCACTACATCAAAATCGTCTTTATCGTTGGACGAATCGATATGCTGCCTTGCAATTTGATAACAGCGATAACCCGCGAACGGGGGTTCAATCTGAGTCTTAAAAATCGGCTTCTGCTCTCTCCTCTTTTGCCCTTTTGCGCTGGTGAAAGAGGCGCTAATCTCGGAACTAATTAGACCAAGAAACAGTGGATCATAGCGGATAATATCAATGAAGAGCCGTGACGCAAATCGGACTGGATTTGCTGACCTTTTCCACTAAATTGATAAGGAAGATAGAAACTATAGATTTCCTCGTAACTCGTTAATTTAATTACA